TTTACATCTTCAGATCTACCTGACATTTTCAAATATTCCTCTTTTAAAATGGAGGAATCTGCTCTGTGGGAACATGCACTGACATTTGCAGTTCAGTTTATCGTCCTCTTGCACTGATATAAGCTAATCATGTTTCTCAGCTGAGTGGCAGTAGGGGGATATCCCATTTGCCCTGAGCCTTAATTCAGAGAAAGCAATGTATATATTTTTCCCCTGGCTTCTTTAGCACCTGCTCACAAGTGTTTGCTGGCTCTGTATCCTGATTGGTGGGCCTTGTATTTGCCGTCACCATGTAGATAACAAGCCTTCATGCAGAGAATGATGGATTGTCTAGCTCCCTGGCGGAGCTCATTTAAAACTCTGCAGGGCAAAGACAAGTGTGTTGGGCATTGGTCTATTGCCTTAGTAGAAGTTTATGCAACACTTAACAGAGAAGTTGCCACTTTCCAGAGGAACTCCCTGTCTTTAGCTAGTGAGCAACAGGCAGGACGTGGGTGGCGCTGTGGGTTAAACCACAGAGCCTAGGACTTTTCAATCAGAAGGTCGGCGGTTCGAATCCCCGCGACGGGGTGAGCTCCCGTTGCTCGGTCCCAGCTCCTGCCAACCTAAGAGTTCGAAAGCACGTCAAAGTGCAAGTAGATAAATAGGTACCGCTCTGGCGGGAAGGTAAACGGCGTTTCCGTGCGCTGCTCTGGTTTGCCAGAAGCGGCTTAGTCATGCTGGCCACATGACCCAGAAGCTGTACGCCAGCTCCCTCGGCCAATAAAGCGAGATGAGCACCGCAACCCCAGAGTCGGCCACAACTGGACCTAATGGTCAGGGGTCCCTTTACCTTTTTAACAGGCAGAAATTCAACAGGCAGAACTTTCCCATCCCTGCATTGCCACACTCAAAAGAGCTTTGTTTGTTGTCATTCTCATTGCTGGGCAGCAGCTAAAAGCACAAAAACTTTGCTGGGAAGAGGCAGTCATGAGGGACAAGTGAATCTGTCAGTTTAGGCTTCTCTTTGCTTCCTCACTTTCCCAGCCTTCAATTCAATTCATCACTTTTCCACATCAGTTTGCAATATTATTTTTAAATTCAAATCAAATATCTTTATTGCGGTCCATAGACCCACAAAACAATTTCAAAATAAAATACAGTTAAAACAACCAAACAACAGGCAAAAGAGAGTGAGGTAGTCATTTTGTTATGTCTAGAGTGTGATGGTCTGTTTCTTGCCACTTCCGAAATAAACCTTGCCACGGTCAGTGTAATATCATTTGACCTATCCTCCAGAAGGTATTTACCAATATGGGAGGCTTCAGATTTTCCCGGCAAGTTTGCCAGTAAGGCCATGAAACATCAGTTAAAAACATCAGTCGCAGCAACTAAATCATTCAGCCCGGCAGCGTAGCAAGAAAACAAACAGAATAATTCAGCGCCAGATAAAATAGCAAGATAATAAAACTGATAAATAAAGGTGAGGGACACCCCATCTTACTCCCCAAAGCCTGCAGTTGAGCCCAGGATCTTTGGTCATTCCCACTATGCGTTTGAAGCACACCACTTCCCCCAAAGAATCTTGGGAACTGTAGTTTTCCCCTTGCAGAGTTACAATTTCCAGCTGCCTTAACAAACTACTTTCCAGGAATCTTTGGAGGGAACGCGTGTGCTTTCCATGTATGCTGTGAATGTGCCCTTTGAATCACGGAAGATTCGCTCTCTTTGGTGCAAATCTAACAGGCCAGCTTTCAGTGTGACCCAAGAGATCAAATCAACACATTCATTTTATAGGCTTGTGTCCAGCCTAGAGGAAAACAGCCCTTCCCAAAGCAAATGTAAGAAAGCATATTTATCCCAGAAGGGGTTTGTGTGACGTTTGAAAGAGAGGGAAAATAGCAGGGAGAATCATGGCACATGAAACGAGCAATGGAAGAACCTGTCCTCAGCTCAGCTGAGCTTTCATTGCAAGCCTTTTTGAGGGGTTGGGGGAAGAAACCTAAACTGTGTCAAATAATTCCTTCCCTCCTCATCCTCTTGACACTTCTGGTTCTGTCCGCATGGATCTTACGGGTTTTCTTCTTTCCTTTCCCCCACATCTTGCTGATAGATGGGGCTTCCAGAGGTCCGAGGGGCTGATCAAATCTTCAGCTGCTTAGCAGTGCTTTAGTTTCTGATGCCCCATAACTATTCACTAGGCCAGTGCGCACCTTCTTGAATTATTTCCATTGCCAAGTCACAGTTGCTTTATTTGAATAACGCTTCCCTATGTATACTACCCACAACAAAGCCAAGGGGGCAGGAAAACATCACCCATAAATCTCCCCACAATGCATTGTTATCTAGAGCATCTCTCTGGGGCAAAGAGCCACATGGAAATTCAATGCCTCCCCGCCCAGCCCCACTGCCAAAACCAAACAAACACACCCAGGAGCGTTTTAAAATCTGAGCGGGGCAACAAAAAACCATGCAGACTCTTTGCGATGAACAATTCAACAAGAACTGCCCCAAACAGAGAGAAGATAGCCACCAAACAAAAGGGCACTTGCGTGATCAAATATTACAGAGTTCCAGGTTGTTTGTTCATGGCAAGCATTTGGGGAATTGTGCCAGTAAATATTTGACATTCAGTCCAACCCACAAGTCAGATTTAAGCTGCCAGGGAGCCCAGTCTCCGCAAAGCAACTGTGGGGGGGGGGGGAGCAGGAGAAAAGCTTGCAGTCCGCACTAAGTCCTCGTGCACAAATATAGTTTTCCATCAAAAGCAATGGGGTGGGAGAAAATTCCCTTCCAGCTTACTGTATTTTTTGCTCTATAAGACTCACTTTTTCCCTCCTAAAAAGTAAGGGGAAATGTGTGTGCGTCTTATGGAGCGAATGCAGGCTGCACAGCTATCCCAGAAGCCAGAACAGCAAGAGGGATTGCTGCTTTCACTGCGCAGCAATCCCTCTTGCTGTTCTGGCTTCTGAGATTCAGAATATTTTTTTTCTTGTTTTCCTCCTCCAAAAACTAAGTGCGTCTTGTGGTCTGGTGCATCTTACAGAGCGAAAAATACGGTAATCCTATGACACACTCTGCTACTGCAAGCAGGATATCTTGGATAGAATCTGGCATACAAGTTTTGACACAAAATTCCCCCTGAGCCAGAGCTCAGCAAAACAGACTCATGCCACCAATACCAGGACTTTCACTAACCGAGATCTCCACCGAAATGGATCCCCAGAGGCAGCCCTGCCAGGAATTCTCACCTGAGACTTTGGAGAGGCTCTGCTAGTTAGTGTAGAGCATCCTTTCCCAATCATAAATTCACTTCTCCACATGGCCACATCAGTTTGCAAAAATAATTTTTTTTAAAAAATCAAATCCTCGTGAAAATTCTTCATGCAAATTTCTCCTTCTATAACACAACGTTGTCTGCAATTTTGCTTAATACACATGTTTGCAAAGCAATTTCTTTTTTCAATTTTTTTAAAATTAAATTTATATACCACCCTTCATCAACAGATCTCAGGGCAGTTCACAGAATAGAATACAGGATAAAAATAATGCATTTTTGTATTTACTCTCACTAATATATGGATTTTTTATGCACAGAGTAAATACAAAAATCTGCCCCGGTGTATGCATTTTCATGAGATTCTGCACTGCACTGCAGATTTCAAAAGATGTCTGCTCATGTAACTGCTTCAGAACGTGAAAATCTGGCAAGCTCACCTGTAAATGAAACCCAAATTAAATCCCCACCCCCTAGCTGCCATATACTGAGTCAGGCTGTTGGTTCATTGAACTCCATACTTCCAGCTCTGGCTGGCAGCATCTCTCCAGGGTTTGAAGCAAGAGACTTTCCCAACCGGATCGGGAGATGCCAGGAATTGACCTTGGGACCTTGTGCCTTCAGAGTGTGTTCTCTGTCCACTGAGTTCTGGCCCTTCCCTTGTGCACGATGCTTGCCTGCCACTTCGGATGCCTCACCTTGAGGTGTTTTCTCCAGGTGGGCAAGTCCATCTTTAAGTTCCGTTAGGTACACACAAGGGGTTGGATGATGATCAGAGCACTCTCTCCTCAGCACACAAACAGACACACACCCTGGAAATTCAGAAGCAAGTTAATCCAAATTCCGAGAAGCGGAATTGTAATCCTTTATAATTAAGCAAGGATGCATATAATGACATGCTTTGCATAATTTCTTCACCCTTTTGCAAGTCAAAGCAGGGAGAAAAGAGCTACCTTTCTGCAGCTCCACCTGATGAATCTGACACTGGAAATTCTGGATCGCCGGCCTCTGGCCTCTGAGATTTGACCAGGCATTGTCAAATCGCTGTCAACTTCAAGTCTTGTCTTCATAGCCTTGACGTCTAGAAACCTGATCTAAAAACAAAACAACGAAAGCTGGCATTTTGCAGTTGCCGAGTTCTGCAGTCAATGTCAATTTATGCGCAGCAATGTTTGCTACCCTTGTTTTACATAATATTTGACATTAACACTTGCATTGATTTTCAGGAACCCCAGCAAATTTAAGTGTTGGTTTTTCTGCCTGTAAAATGGGCTGTAAACATAAGGAACGGCTCTAAGAGCAGTTGATATACAGAAGAAGAAGAAGAAGAAGAAGAAGAAGAAGAGGGGGAGGGGGAGGAGGAGGAGGAGGAAGAAGAAAACATAGGAAATCGGGGATGAGATGAAAGTCTCTTGGATAATTCTGAAAAATATCCATTGTTGCTCCTTCATAGGAAAGTCTCTTCTGAGTATGTGCTGAGATGACACAAATAGAAGCCCTTTGATTTTATTTTTATTAGCAGTAATGACTCTTCTACGCTTATTATTATTTTTCGACTGATTATCCACAGATTTCTGGATCCATAATCATTCACGTCACAGATAGAGGGAGCGGAGGCTGAAACAGGATAATAGCCTTTAAATCCCCTTCTCTAAGCACTCAGATCTTCCCTGTCAGCAAGATTAAAGCGGTCAACAGCAGTCCCCATGTGCCTGGATCCCACACTGAGTTTTTGCAACAACTGGAGCTGCTGGTCGGTCGGAAAAGAAACGTAAAACGGCTCCGGCGGCAGATGCTCCGGGCAGGAAGGAGAAGGCAACCAGAAGAAGCTTCGCACCCACCACCGAACGCTAAGGGGAAGCATGTGGAACCTTAAGCAAAGAAAGCAGCCTCTGATCTCGGACTATAAAACTGAATCTCGCCCGGGGGCCACCTGGGATGCAACCGTGGGAAGCAACGAAACTGGGGGGACTGGGGGCTTTGGTGCTTCTAACTGGGGAACCCCACTGCAGCTGGCCCAGGAAGTTGAGAGCAGCTACTCCTGCTTGGACGATGAGGAGGAAGAGGGCGAGGAAGAGGAGAAGGGGCTCCCCTCGATGTTTCCCTTCAGCCCAGCCTTCCCAGCTGGAGCCACCACGTCGTCCTCCATCCTCAACATCAACGTGGGCGGGCAAAGCTACCGCCTGACGTACCAGGCGGTGGCTATCTACCCCACCACCCGCCTGGGCCGCTTGGCCACTTCCACCGACCGCTGGCGCCAGCTGGGCCTCTGCGACGACTACGCAGCTCAGGGCGATGAGTACTTCTTTGACCGGGACCCGGCCGTCTTCCAGCTGGTCTACAACTTCTACGCCTCCGGGGTGCTGCGGGTGCGGGACGAGCTGTGTCCCCGCAGCTTCCTGGAGGAGCTGAGCTACTGGGGGGTCCGCCTCAAGTACACGCCCCGCTGCTGCCGCATCTGCTTTGAGGAGAGGCGGGATGAGCTGAACGAGCAGCTCAAGGTGCAGAGGGAGCTGCGGGCCCAAGCGGCCGTGCAGGAGAGCGAGCACCTCTTCCGCCACATGCGCTACGCCGAGCATCGCTGGCGCCTGTGGAACCTCATGGAGAAGCCCTTCTCCTCCACCACGGCCAAAGCCATGGGGGTGGCCTCCAGCTTCTTCGTGCTCATCTCAGTGGTGGCGCTGGCTCTCAACACGGTGGAGGAGATGCAGCACAGGGACAAGGCCACCCAGGAGAGGAGGCCTTTGCTGGAGCACGTGGAGACCTTCTGCATCGCCTTCTTCACCCTGGAGTACGTGCTGCGGCTGGTCTCCACCCCGGACATCCGCTGCTTCGTCAGCAGCGCCCTCAACGCTGTGGACCTCATCGCCATCCTGCCCCTGTACCTCCAGCTCCTCCTGGAGCGCTTCGTGGACGAGGACCAGCCTCGGGGGCAAGGCTCCCAGCACGAAAACGACATAGAGAAAGTGGGGCGGGTGGGGAAGGTGGGGCAGGTCTTGCGCATCATGCGCCTCATGCGCATTTTCCGCATCCTGAAGCTGGCCCGCCATTCGACGGGCCTGCGCGCATTTGGCTTCACGCTGCGCCAGTGCTACCAGGAGGTGGGCTGCCTCCTGCTCTTCATTGCGCTGGGGATCTTTGCCTTCTCCGCCATGGTCTACACCGTGGAACACGATGTCTCCAGCACAAACTTCACCAGCATCCCCCATGCCTGGTGGTGGGCTGCCGTAAGTACCTCCCTGGCAATGTGATGCTCGTTCATTGGCTCCCCCCCCCCTTCGCTTGCAAGCGTGCCTGTTTTGGAAGCGGCAGGGTCCCCCCCATGCCTGGCTTTCCAAACATCTGTTCAGAGTGTTGACTTTACAGAACATGCATGCATGCACACACATCCATTAGCTTTCCTATAGCAGATCAGGCTAAAATCAGTGCAGCTGAGCTTGAACCGGAGAGCTCTTTGCGGCTGTACCACAGACTTTGTGCTGCTTCTCGCTGAGAAAGGGGAAGAAGGAAACGAGAAGGGAAAGCACGTCTGCCTGGCCTTAACTTTGCCGTGACCTATCTGTGCCTACTTGACAGCTTGCTGCTGGTATTTTTGTAGCAGATACATAAGGGAGGCTGTGGGGGTGGTTTCACATTCCTTCCAAAGCGAGTTTACAAAAGCAGCTCTGCTCAGTGGTTTAGCAATGCAATCAAAAGGGGGCACATATTAGCTCTTAGTTAAAAAGTTGAGGTTGGGAATCTGGGGAAAAGGTGAGGCTGGGAATCTGTCCCTACAGAAGTTTTGTTTCGTTTCCAAATGTGCCCGTGGATGAACAATTTCCAGATAGGAAAATAAGAGCAGCTGACCGTCACAAGGCTTTCCAGACAGCTGGTGATTGCAGCTACAACACAGCCCAAAATGATTTTTTAAAAATTGCATTTGCACTGAGCCAGCTGCAGACAAAAATAACAAAACGGGAAGACCCTCTGGCTCAGTTGCTTGTAATGCAATATGGAGCTTATAATTTATAGGTCTCTAGTTGAAATGCATCCTAAGCCACCAGGGATGGGAAATGGACATTCCTTCTAGCGCAGCTGGAGGAATCAGGAGGTCTTAGTAGCCCAAGGACAGAGGCTCATCCTGCAAATAGTTCAGCAATAAGAGCACAGGAACAAAGCCTTCCATTGACTGGGACATCGAGCTTAGGGTTGACTACACTGGCGGGTAGCTAGCGCCAAGCTGCATACAGAGCTCTACCCCCTGAGTGTTCAGATTTTCCATATTGCTTTGGTGTCCAAAGTCTTTGCTGAGTCACCAGCACTAATCAAATGTGAAGGCAACAAGGCGATCACTTCACTAAAACCAAAAACCCTGTTCCTTGTGCCTGTGTCCACATTCTTCCCATGGGAACTTCCCTGCATATGGCAAAATGCTGGCACGTGTGAAAGATGGTGCATGGGATTCATATAGTTTTCAGCAGCACAAACATCTCCTGCGATCAAACTCATCTTGTGTGACGTGACCTTGATTGACCCCTTTGGATAGGTAAATAAATCCAAGTTTGGAGCAGGTTCAGGGAGTGTTAACTTTGGACAGCAGATTATGTGAACAGACTTGTGAGCAGAAACTAGAAGTGCTACAGAAACTAGAGAAGCTATAGAATATAAATTGCATCCTGCCAATTTATGAAAGCATGTTAGAGTTTAGCTGGAAAGCTCTTCTGATAACCCTTCCCTTTTGAGGATAATAAATATGGTGTGTGGGGATAGGTAGATAGATGATAGATAGATAGATAGATAGATAGATAGATAGATAGATAGATAGATAGATCATAGATAGAAAGACAGATAAATGATAGATAGATGATAGATAGATGATATAGATATAGATAGATAGATGATAGATGATAGATGATAGATAGATAGATAGATAGATAGATAGATAGATAGATAGATAGATGATAGATAGATGATAGATAGATAGATGATAGATAGATAGATAGATAGATAGATAGATAGATAGATAGATAGATAGATAGATGATAGATGATAGGTAGATAGATGATAGATAGATAGATGATAGATAGATGATATAGATATAGATGATAGATAGATAGATGATAGATAGATAGATAGATGGATAGATAGATAGATAGATAGATAGATAGATAGATAGATAGATAGATGATAGATAGATAGATAGATAGATAGATAGATAGATAGAGATGATAGATAGATAGATAGATAGATAGATGATAGATAGATAGATAGATAGATAGATAGATGATAGATAGATGAGAGAGAGATGATAGAAGAAGAAGAAGAGGAGGAGTTTGGATTTGATATTCCACTTTATCACTACCCGAAGGAGTCTCAAAGCAGCTAACATTCTCCTTTCCCTTCCTCCCCCACAACAAACACTCTGTGAGGTGAGTGAGGCTGAGAGACTTCAAAGAAGTGTGACTGGCCCAAGGTCACCCAGCAGCTGCATGTGGAGGAGCGGGGAAGCGAACCCGGTTCCCCAGATTACGAGTCTACCGCTCTTAACCACTACACCACACTAGATAGATAGATATAGACAGATGATAGATATAGATGATAGATATAGATGATAGATATAGATGATAGATATAGATGATAGATATAGATGATAGATAGATATAGATGATAGATAGATGATGATAGATAGATGAGAGAGAGAGAGAGAGAGAGAGAGAGAGAGAGAGAGATTATGAAAATGGTCATCCATTAGCTGCTAAATATTTTCCATTTTAGGCAATTGTTATTAATCTAGAAAGAAGTATATTGTTTCCACAAATGAACCCTCAAGTCCTGCAGCATCGGAAGGGCCACTGTTCTAAAGGGAGTGGCCTGCTTGGAGGTCAAGGTTTCCCACCCCTAGCTTGGCAGGTATTGTTCTAGGGGAAAAAACAACAATCACACAGTAACTTGCAACCACCCCATACATTGAAAGCACTCTTGCACCACTTTAACAGTCAAGGCTTCCCCCAAAGAATCAGGGGAGCTGAGAGTTGGTAGGAGATGCCCTCTTAGAACTGTGATTCCAGCACCTATAACTGTTCCCGGGGTTCTTTGTGGGGAGGCAGCGCTCTGAAAGTGGTAGAAAAGTGTTTCAAATGAATGTTGTGGGTGTGACCAATGAACACCAGCAATGGGAACAACTCCAGCATGAGGCTGCAGGCAGAGCTTTTCTTCTAGGAAAAAAAGTGTCGGTGTTGCATGACCTTGAGAACCCCCAGAAAAAAGCACTGGTTGCAGGAATGTCTATCTATACCTATCTTCTCATGATAATCCTGCTGGTTGGTCTGGGCTGGTGGCTGGTGGCATAACGAACCCTCCCAAACTCCAAATCCCACTCTCCTTCGTCTTCCCCATGCTCCAACAGTGGTGCAGATGCCCCTACCCCATGGTTGAATCCTGCGCCGCTGCAGACACCTGTAGACAACAGCAGCACCTAGTTCTGCGTGCGTATTTTTCACTTGGCCCAGTCAAGGTGAGGAGGACCAAAGCAGGTGCCAAAAGCCGGGAGACAAGCTGGGAAAAGAGGGCAGTGCCCAAGTGGGGGGAAGTGGCTGGGGAGGGAGGCACCAACCTGCAGAAAATATTGGGGTCCAACCCCCCAAAATATTTTATTGGGGGGCAAAGGGACCAGGGCCCCCCAGAGTTGACGCCTATCCTTCCTCCGATCCTCATCCCACCAAGGCATAAAGAAATAAACAAACACACGTGAAAAATTCCACACCAGGACTCCTGGCTCTCTCTTCTGGCTGTTTATTTTCGGAGATCTCCCTCCTGCATTAACATTCAATTCCAGTGAGTTAATTTCCATCAGGCCACAAAACTAATCCCTTTTAGACCATCAAATGCGCCAGGTGCATCTGACAAATAAGCTCGCTTGCTGCAGGCTCAGGGAGGGAGCAGGAAATTTCACTCATCTGAAACATCAGGCTCCTTTTTTCTTTGGGGGAAAAGAGGAAAATGCCCTCCCCACTGCATGGCTGCCTTTCCAGTGAATATTGCACTGGATGCTGCCAGACGGAAGCCAAGGCACGAAAAAGGGAAGGAGAGCCCAATGCACATTCTGTCTGGAGCCATTTCTTTCACTGTTATCCCTACATCCCTATAATACCTTGGTATGGGCTATAATAACGATTGCACGATAAGGTTAGCAGAAAGACAAATGCAAAGTGAGACACCATTCTTCGGACAAAACAGGTCAGTGCCGGGTTCCCAGCACTCGGCTCTTCCACCACCATCCACCCATCTCTGCTTTTCCCCATCTCTTGCAGTTTTAAGAGTCCCTGAAAACAGGGGGGGGGATTCAGTTCCTTGTTTCGTTCTGGCCCCCTCTTCCTCTTCCTCCACCAACCTCTTGTCCACCCTGCAAACATTCCTTCTCCAAGTTGCAGGAGTATCAACAGGAGAATCCGCCTTCCTGGCAAGCGTTCCTGAAGATAGGTAGAGCATAGGGGGAGAGGCCAAAGTGTACTTAGGGAGACAGCACAACCAAGAACCTTGACAGCCTGGATATGGTGACTGGGAGTGGCCACCGGGGCCACATAACACTGGTCCTGAGAGATCTGCATTGGCTCCCAATATGTTTCCGAGCACAATTCAAAGTGTTGGTGCTGACCTTTAAAGCCCTAAGCGGCCTCGGTCCTGTATACCTGAAGGAGCATCTCCACCCCCATCATTCAGCCCGGACACGAGATCCAGCGCCAAGGGCCTTCTGGTGGTTCCCTCACTGCGAGAAGTGAAGTTACAGGGAACCAGACAGAGGGCCTTCTCGGTAGTGGCACCCACCCTGTGGAACACCCTCCCTTCAGATGTGAAGGAAATAAGCAGCTATATTCTCTTTAAAAGACATCTGAAGGCAGCCCTCTTTAGGGAAGTTTTAAATATTTAATGCTGTATTGTTTTTAACACTTGACTGGGAGCCGCCCAGAGTGGCTGGGGAAACTCAGCCAGATGGGCGGGGTATAAATAATAACAACAACAACAACAATAATAATTAATATAATAATAATAATAATATAATAATAATAATTATTATTATTATTATTATTATTATATTACGGGAAGGAGGCGCTGCTGCCCTGTCATTTTTCACGAATGGGAGAAACAAAAGGTGACCGGCTTGTTGTTTATTACATTCCTATGTGAATTGCCCTGTGGCCTTTTTGGCAAAAGGTGGCAAATAAATGTCTTAAAACAAATGACTCATAAAATAAACGAAGCTCCACCATAATTCTGAAACAGGCAAATGGAGCAACATTGACTTCAATGCCAGCATGGAATTGGTTGCAGTTTTCAACCAGTATAGACCAAGGTAAAGGTAAAGGGACCCCTGACCATTAGGTCCAGTCGTGACCGACTCTGGGGTTGCGGCGCTCATCTCGCTTTATTGGCCGAGGGAGCCAGCGTACAGCTTCTGGGTCATGTGGCCAGCATGACTAAGCCACTTCTGGTGAACCAGAGCAGCGCATGTAAACACCGTTTACCTTCCCGCCAGAGTGGCACCTATTTATCTACTAGAACTTTGACGTGCTTTCGAACTGCTAGGTTGGCAGGAGCTGGGACTGAAAAACGGGAGCTCACCCCGTCGCAGGGATTCGAACTGCCGACCTTCTGATAGGCAAGTCCTAGGCTCTGCGGTTTAATCCACAGCGCCACCCGCGTCCCGGGTGACCAAGGTACGGTGGCCCAAACCTAAACAAGAGATCTTGAAAAAGACACTCAGGAAAGACATTCCTAGGACCACGGATGGGTAGAGAGTGGAAATAAATGGTCTGAGGGACCTGCTCCTGTCACCCCCAGCCCAGTTCACCACTGCCTGCTGCCACTGCCTGCTTCCCAGAAAACCAAGGTGTCAAATCAGCAGCTGACAAGGAGGGATGGGGGGGAAATTGGATTCAGTTCATATTTAAAGGTGAACTCACCAAATAAAAACACAGCTATCCTTCGACATTTGCATCAATCTGAATTTTGCAATGCAGTTCTCCAGCCAAGTAATTTGTGAAAATGGCATACAAAATGTGTTATTAGTGGAAAAAGCTTAGCGAAAAACAAATGTATATTAGGCAAATTTGTATATGAAATGGTATCACACGAGAAAATTGCAGGGAAATGCTGGTGAATTTTCATGAGGATTTTTTTGTATGTTTGGAAAATTCACAAACTGATGTATAACTATAGAGAACTGAATTTAGGATTGGGGAAATGAGAAACCGACATTGACGTGCTTGGCCATGTTTACTGAGGACACTGCTGCGGCTCAGAAGTTGCTCAAACACACCATCATTCATAGAAAGAGATCATTGTCACATAAAGGAGGGAAAGGCAGCTAAATGGTGTGCAGTTTATGCATGCTTGAGTTCACTGTGTTGGGAAGAAGTGGCAGTTTGCCCACCATGGGCACCTTCCTCTGTGCACTGTGATGGGGAGGACAAACGCCATCTCTGGTCTTCAGGGATGGGAAGAGCAGAGGCAGATTCTCGTATCTATTGCAGAGGAATCTCTCTTTCCTGCCCAACATTGCAATGGGGAGGAAAAAATACTGCCTCTGTCCTTCAGAGACCAGTCTCTGAATGACCCCTCTGTCCTCAGCATAGAAAGGTGGTTTGGATGTTCTGAGTAACTGCCTTGTTTTGTGTTTGCTTTTCAAGGTAAGCATTTCTACTGTTGGATATGGAGACATGTGTCCGGAAACCCACCTCGGACGGCTCTTTGCTTTCCTCTGCATCGCTTTCGGGATCATTCTGAACGGAATGCCCATCTCCGTCCTGTACAACAAATTCTCAGACTATTACATCAAGCTGAAAGCGTACGAATACACAGCCATACGCAAAGACAGGGGCAAAGTGGATTTTGCACGGCGAGCCATGAAGAAAATGTCTGAGTGCTGTGGAAACAGGCCAAACAGATTACCAAGACACAGATACAATTAATACCTTGGATGGAAAAGAGGGATTGGGGGATGAAAGGCCAACAGATTCCCTCAGGTTTGTCCACAAGTTAACTGGGAGGAAAAGACTGACTGGGGTATAGTGCAAAACTTTCTCTTTTTTAAAAAAAGATACAAATGAAGATAATCCTTCTTAATATTTTGTCTGATAAATGTTATAGCTGGTGTCCAAGCAGCCTCTGGAATCAATTGTATTGTGATCCAGTGAGTGATTCCAAATAAGGATCCGCTTGAGGAAATGAGAAGGAATGCAGTCTTGTTTCTTTAGCTACAAATGCTGCACCACCCCAACTGAATCGAAGGCAACTAACTTAGGCTAAGCACCATTACTAGGAAGCAAGAGCTAGTTGATCCTATGAGGCCTACATCTGAGTAAATGTGCAAAGGATTATGCTGCTTTTTCTGGGTATTTACATATTTGCCAGCATGATGGATGTTGCCTCAAAATCAGAATTTAGTAGACTTTCAAGTAGGAATATATTTGTGTCCTGTACCAGAATTTTATTATTGTCTTGAGGGCGTGTCAAGCGCCTTTTGTCCTGTAAATGGATCCGCAGGTACCAAAAACAAGTCATTCTAAGAAACTTGAGTATTCATGCAGTGGGGAGAGAAGGAAGGGAGTGCGGATAGCCTCCATTGAGTTGCCACTGCTTCACCCTTGTTCGTTCGTGGGGAGGTGGAGTCTGTCCATTTCAGCTTCTACTTTTTCCCATCTTAAGTTGCGTTCTCCCCATTTCCACATTGGTTTGCTATTAAAGCAAACAAAAAAGAGCCCTGATGAAAATTCATCAGCGTTTTCGTTTTTCTTCTATTATACACATTTCTGCAAAGCAATTTCTCCTAATCGATTGCATGTTGTATGTTGTGTTATTTTCACTTGGCGTGTGAATTTTGTGCACACTACTTGGCTGGAGAAATGCATTGCAAGATTTGGAGAATTGTGAATTTTGAAAGACGGCTGTGGTTTGGTTTGCATTTTGTTCCATAAAGTGAAAATTCAGCAGATTTGTCTTTAACTGAAAACTGAATCAAATCCCCTCTCCCTGCCTGCCTGTGCTCCCATCCCAACTCTCTTAGACACCTCCAGCTGAGAGCAGCTTGTCTGTTGCAGCTTGGTGGCTTAAATCAGGATGATGAGAGCATTTCTGCAGACGTTAAACAAATATTGAAGGGGCCAAAGACCCCTCGCCCCCCTAGAGTTGGGATGTCTGTCTCCATCTTGTTATTTATCTCTAAAAGCACAGGGGTGGGACTTGGTTTGTTGCACAAGACCTCCCAGTCAACAAGAACTGCACAACCTGAATTTGCCAGAATTTGGTTGAATCCCCCACAAAATTAGCCACAGTCTGGAGGCCCCCAGGGAGGGATCTTGTAGGCTAAGTCCTTCTGAGGAGCTGAGACATCAGGTTACAACTTGGGATTCTTGAATGAAGATTGAAATATGGTTCCTACCCCTCATTTCTTTTTCTTTTTTTAAAAAAAGATGTCTGGCTTGTAACCCAGCTCTGTAAACTCTGTGATGAATATTACAACGGTCACATTGTAATTATTTTTATTTTTGAATACTCTCCAAGTGTCCATTTTCCACCCAGCTGCATCTCTGTCATTAACAGGAATTATGCTCATTGGTATCCAGTATCTTATGATGGTAGGGCAGTTCAGACATGACAAAGATGAGCATTGTGCTTCTACACTCCCTGCTCTTCTCCTTCCCACTGTAATGCTAGACTTTCGGGGTTCACGGGACATCCAAACAGAGACACTGTGGTTTAACTGTGAAACCAAGCCAGGATTCTTGCTAGAACAGTGGCCTAGCATGGGTTGCCAGTGCCCGGGGCAAAGCAAGTATCCTCAGTACCACCTGCCGGTGGGCTAGAACAAAGGGGCAATAGCTTGGCAACTGACTTGAGTGGCAACTGCGTCACCCCATGAGTGTTGAGTATGATGGAGAGCGGGATGAGAGATTGGTCAGGAGCAATCCTTCTAAACCCAATGCAGAGGGCACCCAAGCAACTGCCCACCGCCCAATTCTGCTCCTCAGTCCGCCCACACGGACATTAGGAGATTCTCTGTGTGAGAGGGAGGGTGCACTTCTTTGTTTCTTTTCCCCCACTTTTGAACTTTTTTGTGCCCCTAAGAATTTTGCATCCAGGGCAATCGCCCGTGTGGCCTCACTGATGCCCCCCTACTGTATTAGATATCTTGAGTTGCAAACAGAGGTTAAACCACAATTTCCTGATTTGGCTATAACAGAAACTGTGGTTTAACAAAACACAATGCTCCTTCTCTGTCTAAGAAATCCAGCCAATATTTATATAGTAAGAATTGCATGTTACCATCTCCCTGTCAAGCTAATAGATGGTTTTTGAAAGTAAAGAGCCTGAAAATCGCAACCCAAGAAAGATGTAGCAAGTAGTCATTCCTTTGCATCATTGTGGTATCACTAAAAACTGGGGTTTGTTTGCAACACACTCCTGTCCTCTAAAGTGCAACGGTGAAGGCACCGTATAAGCTGTAGGAACAGACGATAAGCGAGAGTGCAAAGAACGGGTGCAGAAAACTGATGGGAAGACAATTTGCCAGAAAGCAGGAGGGTGATTATAAACAGCCAGTGTCTATTAATAAGCGCAGAAGCAGAACTGATAGGCAAGCAGCACAGGCAAGCCGTACGCATTTCACATTATTGAATTCACTTGGAGCTGCTGAATCTATGTCATCACATTCTAGAAATTAGGATGAAGCACTGTCCAGAAGCCGAGCAAAGACAAGATGCATCAAATGCAGAATCAAATGCTGTTTGGCAGACAGCGGGAGGCGACACTCGTCTATCAAGGGGAAGCAATGAATTAAACCAGCATCACCTCTTGCTTTACCCCAAATATGGCCATCTGCTGTTTTTCATGTCAAAAACAGCACACGGAGGGATGTGTCTGACAGAAAGAGCTGGAGGACATCTTTGTGACAGACTGGGATCTTCTGAATGAGGGAGGACGGGTCTGGAAGCCGCAGTGACAAATATATATCTATGCAAGTGCTGATTTGATTTTGTTCACAGGCTAAGTTGCGCATTCATTTGCACCTGCAGGCGCTGTAGAATCTGCACATCTGTTGTTAACTCCCCTTCCGGAATCTGCACGGAAAGGCTATAGAACTACTGCTATCCCCTTGAGTTTCACGGCTGTTTGGCATTACTGTTTATACGCCCCACCCCATAATTATGTATATAGCCTTCTTGCCACTGATGAGAGTGGGCTCCAGTCCACAGAAGATTATGCCGCAATAAAGCTTTTCATTTTTAAGGTGCCAAAAGACTCTTCTGTTCTCAGATGACGAAAGCAAAACTCTCTCTCTTAAAGCCCCTCTTCAGCAGCTTAAATGGAGGGAGAGCTGGTGTCTGTTTCAGCAGCTAGGTTCACATCTGGCACTCACATATTTTCGACAGACGAGAACAAACTGTCTGTGACTTTTCCTGAATATATTTTGGGTAATAATAATAATAATAATAATAATAATAATAATAATAATAATTTATTATTTATACCCCGCCCATCTGGCTGGGTTTCCCCAGCCACTCTGGGTGGCTTCCAACAAAACACTATAATACAATAACCTATTAAACATTAAAAACTTCCCTAAACACGGCTGCCTTCAGGTGTCTTCTAAAAGTTTGGTAGTTATTTTTCTTTTTGACATCTGATGGGAGGGCGTTCCACAGGGCGGGTGCCACTACTGAGAAAGCCCTCTGCCTGGTTCCCTGTAACCTGGCTTCTCACAGCGAGGGCACTGGACCTCAGTGTCCGGGAAGAATGATGAGAGATTCGTCATTTTGCCCGGACATATAAGCTGCAAGACAAAGATAACTGTGACTTTAAAGATGAATGGGAACCCTTTACAAAGTATTTGAAGATGTAACAAAGTGTGTGAGATTCATCCCTAACCCCCCGTGTGAGCAGAAGCCCTGAGAAAGGGTTTGCACAATGGGGGTGTCCACCAAGTGACTCTGGCAGGAGAGACCCCCAGAACAGCAAAGGGAGGTGGAGATGGGGGCCTCATTCCATCTGGCAAACCGGGATGCTTGTGCAAATGTAACAAGTGGAAGAGACGTTTGATTCCATCCGTAGACAAAAGCATGAAATGAACAGTCTCCTGTACAGTGGTGCCCCGCAAGACGAATGCCTCGCAAGACGGAAAACCCGCTAGACGAAAGGGTTTTCCGTTTTGGAGGTGCTTCGCAAAACGAATTTCCTATGGGCTTGCTTCGCAAGACGAAAATGTCTTGCGAGTTCCTGCAGGGTTTTTTCCTCCCCCCCCCCTTTCCCCAAGCTGCTAAGCTGCTTATCAGCTGATCCGCTAAGCCGCTAAACAGCTGATCTGCTAAGCCGCTTAACAGCTGATCGCTAAGCCGCTTATCAGCTGATCCACTAAGCCGTTTAACAGCTGATCCGCTAAGCCCGCTAAGCCGCTAATAGCGCTAATCCGCTAATGGGCTTGCTTCACAAGACGAAAAAACCGAAAGACGAAGAGACTCGCGGAACGGATTCTTTTCGTCTTGCGAGGCACCACTGTAGTTGTTAAAGTTTTGGTTTAGGACTAGAAAGAGCAGGGTTTAAATTGTTGCTGAGCCATGAAGTTCACCGGGTGATCGTGGACTAGCTAGAGACTATCCCACACTATCTTACTGAACATCCTAAACACATTTTACAGCAGAAATTATTCTGAGTAAATATGCATAGAATTACATATTGAGAAGTTGACGGTTCAGGCAGATTTTGGCATGTCCATCACTGCTTGCAAACATACAACCAAATTGTGGTATGTTGTGTTGTGGTTCAACCCTGCTTTGGAAAACTGTTCTGGGGCACAAAGCCAATTCGTTATGCCCCCCCGCCTTGGAAAATATGATTGTCATGAAATTTGGCAACTCTTCAGTCATGCATGGAACAAACAAGGGTAATCTGTCAGATAGTGGGAAAGTACCAGTATGGTTTTTCCCCAGCACAGCACACCTGCACGTGTCCAATTTGAGAATCCACAAATGCACCTACGAAGATGGAATTGATATGCACTCGCAGATATTCTCATGGGGGAGGAGTGATCACATGTGCGGTGGCCCCAGCCTTCCTCTGAGGAGCTCAAAGGTAATTGCATGAGAATAGCTGAATACATTCTCAAGAAAATGTCATGAACTTCCTGGCTGGGCAGGAGTTGAACCTGGATTTCTCCACAACTTTAATTGCTGCGTTAGGCTAGTCAATGTGTACATAGTGATTTCACAAAGTGTTCCGTTTCCCAGATCAAGGCTGGAGGATTGTTTGCTTGAAGAGCTTGGGAAATGCACCAGTCTGCAAAACAAGGAAATCCATGCCTCCTATCAGAGTTTTGGGGAAAACCTTGACGGACCTGTCCACATTAAAAGTAAAATGGCCTGTTGAAAACAACACATTCCTATTTACTATTTTGCACAAATACAGTTAACATTGTGGTTGGTTGATGCAGTGCACTCCATTCAGGCAAGGAAGGCCAGCAAAAAGTGACATTAGTCGATAGGGTTTTGGGATGCGGGTGGCACTGCGGGTTAAACCACAGAGCCTAGGGCTTGCCAATCGGAAGGTCGGCGGTTTGAATCCCTGCGACGGGGTGAGCTCCCGTTGCTCGGTCCCTGCTCCTGCCAACCTAGCAGTTCGAAAGCATGTCTCTGGCGGGAAGGTAAATGGCATTTCTGTGCGCTGTTCTGGTTCGCCAGAAGCTGCTTAGTCATGCTGGCCACATGACCTGGAAGCTGTACGCCGGCTCCCTCGGACAATAAAGTGAGATGAGCGCCGCAACCCCAGAGTCGGCCACGACTGGACCTAATGGTCAGGGGTCCCTTTACCTTTACCTTTGATAGGGTTTTCTTTTTAAAAATCAGCTATCCAGAGAAGCATTGGACAGGATGGAAGAGCACTGAGGTAAAAGCAGCAACTGAAGTACAGAAATGTTGGGCTACAACTCCCCTCATCCTTGGCTCTACCACTGGCAACTGGAACCCAACAACATCTGGAGGAGAACATGCTCCCCACCCCTGGCTGTTACAAACTGGAACTTACTGTAAGGTTGGAACAATGAGAAACAGAAAGACCGAAATGGACAAATCTGTCCGCTCAGCAACTGGAATTCAGAGACATATTGCCTCTGACTGCCACAGATGTAAGGAATAGATGTGTAGGAACACAAAATGCAGTTTTGAAAAAGAGCTGGTGTGTGGGTTGGGTTGGGTTGGGCAAAGGAATCTTCCACAGCAGATCACGACCAGGAGAGCAGTCCTTCATTTCCTGAGGCCGCGTCCAGAAGAGGAGGACTCAGACATTCTGGGACAGTCCTCTCTTTCCTGCAGTTCTTGTCATGGTGCCAGGATGAGTGTTGTGGCCCTTAATTCTTATCCTTAAGAAAGGAAAGCAGGCATCCAGTGTCAGGGCCTGTGGCCCTTCCCTGATTCTGCTGGGTGCTGAGGATGCCGGACTGAGCTGAACATACGAGTGAGAAAAACAGCGTTCTTGTCAAGGATTATTACCGTATTTTTTGCTCTAGAAGACTCACTTTTTCCCTCCTAAAAGTAAGGGGAAATGTGTGTGCGTCTTATGGAGCGAATGCAGGCTGCGCAGCTATCCCAGAAGCCAGAACAGCAAGAGGGATCGCTGCTTTTGCTGCGCAGCGATCCCTCTTGCTGTTCTGGCTTCTGGGATTCAGAATATTTTTTTTCTTGTTTTCCTCCTCCAAAAACTAGGTGCGTCTTGTGGTCTGGTGCGTCTTATAGAGCGAAAAATACGGTAAATACTGACCAGTGATAAAAGTGTCCTGTCCCTTTGAAGAGGGAATCATTCTTAGAGCTTATCACAATCTACACCATACAATCGACGACCCTTATATTCTCAGGGTCATCTATCCAACTACACAGGATGCAGAATGGACTGAAACATTTTGTGTGCAGAGGGAGAAACAACTTTGAATGCTCATGTGCAGGGAGACAAGCCACACACCTTCAAAGGAAAAAGCAGCATATCAAGCAGAAGGATGATAAGGCTGGGCATTCGCCCAACTCTGCTTGCGAGCAGCTTTTAATGGAGATCATCCCAAAACATGATCCCCACCTGTGTTCTGAAATGGTGCGGTCTATGTTACATCCTCCTGCTGCAGGTGTAGAGCAAACCACCTCACAGGTGGGGTGGCAACCTGTGTCTGGAATGTACCACTTCAGATTGTGAGTAGGGGCTTTTGTAAAGGGAGGAAAACCCCTGAAAAGCATTGACAGGCATAGAAAATGAGCATGCCAGAGTAAAGCTTAGGCTACCACCCTCCTCCAAAGCAGCTGGTTTTCTATCTACAAGGACTTTAAAAAGAAAAGTGGGAGAGCTTTTTATCATGTGATTACACTCCAGACACCGGTTTATTGCCGTTTGATGCTGAGATTTAAAAACAAAAGATAAACATGAGATGCACAACATATGCAAGGCAAGGCCTTTCATTAGTTCAGCTGCCAAGTCTCCCTATTTCTCCCTGCCTCCCAAATAATACCCAAATATAATGTGTTACTTCAGGCAAGCATGGTTACTGTCTCAGAGAAGCAACAATGGAAAATTAACTCTGTGATGCGTTTTATGACCATAGTTAAGTTTGTTCTTTCTTTTCTTTTACAGAGACTAATGAAACTATAAAGAGACCCTATGATAATTAAGTCTAGCAATATAGCTCACTGATTCTGCCTGATCGTCTTCACTCCAGGCAAGAGGAGAAGAAAGACGTGCTCACGATGGAAAAGTTTCAGAGAGGACGAAACTACCGTATTTTTCGCTCTACAGGACGTACCGGACCATAGGAGGGGGAGAACGGGGGGGGGGATTCTCCCCCTCTCTGCTCAGCACCCCTTCAGCGAGCCCCTTCCATTTCTCCTCCCGCTTCGCTGAAGGGGCGCTGCGCAAAGAGGGAAAGCTGTGCAGCGCCTCTCCAGCGAAGCGAAGCCTGGGGAGCAAGAGGGATCGGTGTGCACCGACCCCTCTCGCTCTCCAGGCTTCAGGCGGCTATCCGCAAGCCTTCGGAGCACAGCGAGAACTCCTGCTGTGCTCCAAAGGCTTGCGGACAGCTGCCTGAAGCCCCTGGAGCAAAGCCTTTGAAGCCTCCGCAGAGCAGCGGGGTGAAGGCGCCCCGCTGCCCTGCGGAGGCTTTGCGCAGCCATCCCCAAGCTAGAACAGTGAGACAGAGCGCTCCGCAGTGCTCCGTCTCCCTGTTCTGG